CTTTCCACCACCAGCTGAGGAGGGATGGTGCCACCAGCATGCTATTTTCCTAATGTTGATAGACTATGTAAAGCAGAACAATATCACCTGTCAGTACTGGATGGCCAATAGGCTCATAAATTCCCCAAATCCACCAGAGTCAGCTGGGAGTGATTTTTGATTAAAACAGTATCTTTAAGCTTGTCATTCCACTGTCTGGCCACTTGTAAGTCCTCACATGCAGATATTCTGCCCAAAAAACAAAATAAGAAACCATGGGATGAGACGATGCTAACTACAAGGTGATGAACATAACTTCAGATTTTCTCTGAATGCAGAGAAGCAGGCTGGGCCATAGGGCGAAGCCAGTGCATGTAGGAATGGTACAGGAGAAGCTTTCAGGGCCAAAGATAAAAGCTTTCAGGGCTAAAGATAAAAAGGAGAAAGATCTGGAGAGAGAAGATGATTAATACATGGGAAATGAGGTTGATGAGACCAGAGCTATGAACCAGGGATCTGGGGTAGGGGTCCCAGTCCCTCCCTCCAGAAAGATAGCATTGCTGCTTCACTTCCACTAGGCACTTGGGGTCTTGTTACATGGTACTTTTGGGTGGCTCCTGGAGCACTTAACTCCTGAAACTAGTTTCTAGCACTTGTTATGAATCTCAAAGTTATGCTGCTCCAGGGCAGGATTATGGCTGATCTGTGTTATCCAGCTTGTGTTACACTAAGGTGTAGCCACTCTAACTACACCTCCTCGCTGACCTGGATCAGGCCCACTGTCCCTCATCCCCAATACCCCAGATCCCTGCTCCCCTCTTACTTGTGGCTGCCCGTTCTGTCTCTCTTGGGGAGCAGGGAAGGCAGGATTAACCTGCCTGCCCAGCTGCTGCCCTCTCCACTGCTGCTGTCTGGGTGGGCTCAGCCCAGAGATGACCAGCAGCTGCCAGCCAGACAGGCAAACCCTCCCCTGCCTGCTTCCCAGGACAGGCAGCAGGGGCAGCCACAAGTGAAGAAGAGGGTAGGGGGAAACCCTGGGGGGGGAAAAGGGGACAGGGGAGAACCCAAGGGGTGGGAGGGAGCCCTAGGGGCAGGGGAGAACTCAGAGAGCCCCAGGGGGCAGAGGCAAAGCCTGGAATGGGGGGGTGGGATTCTTACCTTTCAGTCCTCCAGGTCTGTGCTGGCCTGAACGCGTGACCAAACTTGAGCCAGCGCTAACACTGATCAACATTTGTGCGGCTTACAGTGTAAGGTGTGACAAGGCCTTTCAGCAACTCCGCTAGGGGAACTGAAGCAGTAACAGCGGATAAGCCTGGGAAAGGCTGAGAGATCAGCAGATGGAGACTGGGTTCTACCTTCCTTCTGCCATTCTATAGCGTTAGTTTTCCTCATCCAACCCTCTTCCTGCCCAGATCCACCCAACTCTGCTTACTTTCTCTCCACCCTCATTGTTTTCCATATTCTGGACTTAGCCTTTTCAGTTAAAGTTAATAGATAAAGGGGGAAAAGTAACTTCGTTTTTTCTACTGTTCAGCAATGTCA